TGAGGCGAGGAGCGCCCCTGAATAAGTAGGAAATGAGGCGTTGGATTACCCTAAATACTGGAGAAGGGAGTGCCATATTTTGTTCTGGTAGGAGAGGGGATCTTGGTAATGCTGGGTGTCAGGTGGTCTTAATCATGGGGGAGATAGATGAGGAGGAGTCTCTTTGTAATGGATGGAGCGGATGTTATTTTTTTTTAACACTGTGAGGGTCCTGTAGGCTCCCTATAGCACTAGGGGTATGAATGATATTCGATACTTAGGCTAGGTTTTAAGGCGCTATAATTAGTAATGGGCTCTTTAAACACAAAAACATGAGAAGGGTCTTCAGCTGGTGTAGCTTTATCTTATACTGGACGGGGACGATGTTATATGTAGGCAAGACTGATTTTATGTATGGATATTTTATATTATTTATAAAGCATATCATTAACTTATGTTGCCTCTCACACCTCCTCTGTGCTGGGAAGTTTTCGTTTCACTGATTTAAGGAGATGGACTGTACATGACCAGCATCAATTTTCCTCCACACTACCACAGACGGCAAAATATACTGGACCTATTTTGGTCGCTGTGTTAAGCCAACCCCTGTTTTTTCACTTAGCCTGGACTAAAAATATCTCCGCTATATATTCACTTGTGAATTAGTTTTATGTCGCGGAGGTAAATTGAGAATGTGACTGTTGTGTGAAAGTTTATTTCTCTTCAGGCAGTTTGCGAATTGAAATAGTTATTATTCTTATGGTACCTGCATCACAAACTTTATGAATACCAATCTTGAATGACTGACTGATTGACTCACTGAGATTCATTTCTGACTCTGGTTTGTTCACTTGATAGTGTACTCTGAGCCTGAGATGTGGGATTATAGAGATATAGGTTTGATTATATATTAGCTTTATAGCGCTAGATTGTCACCAGATGAGTTTGTGGTTAGCTACACTTAATAATCTTATCAGTTAGTTTTGGGGAATGAGAGTACAGTACCATAAACGACAATACACGGCCTCTCGCCTTAGCTGTTCACCTGAGTATTGCACCTATGGCTTCAGTCGCCAATGCATAGATATGAATAATCATATTTTATCTGTACCGTTGATGTGCTTGATTAAACCTTGAGAAGATAATCAGTGCGTCATTTAGTTACACATTCCACATATTTGCCCCCGTGTAAGTATTATTTTGTAAAGTGGACCTTGAAAATTTTAATGATATTCCTTCGTTACATAGTGAATTTACCGCTCTAGAGAACGTCGCATTTTTTATTCAACAAATTTTAATTAATCGATTTACATTTTGTTGAGTGGAGGTCGGGGACTATTTTTCTTTTTGATGGGGGGGGGGGTCCCTTAAAATACTTTGGTGTGTGTGTGGCAGAGCTAGTTATCAATAAGCCGTTCCTCTCATGTAACTCTGACTCGCGAGAAGTGACGAGTGGTTGATGAATTAGTATTAATGGTAGAGATTTTCCATTATCTTCCAAGAAAGTTGCGAATAACTTATATACAAAGAAAGGGAGGAATCCATATTAACTTTGAAGAATTTATTACATATAGTTGATAACAAATCACTGCATGAAGACAAGACAAACTGTCAATATATTGTTAAGGCAAATTTTTTTTTATATATATATTTTTTACGGAATTAGTCCACCCGGGCACAGGTCGAACGACCCAGAACGGGGCCAAGGGGGCGAAAAAATAATCTACACCACGAAGATGCCGGAAAACCAGCTTTTTAAAGTGAGACAGATTGTATAAGTATGGAAACACAGAAGAAGGCAGAGCATTCCACAGTATGGCTGTGTGAGGAAAGAAGGATGTACTATAACGGGTTATTCTAGTGTGGCCGACATCCATAGAGAAACGGTAGGCACCGCGGGCAAGACGTGTTAACGAGTCCACGGCCTTGCCGGCCGTACACAGGATGCCAACCAACCGAACATTGCCCGTTAAAGTGCCTGTAAAAGAGAGAGAGTGAAGCAGCGTTGTGACAAAGAGAAAGGGAAGGATGATTGTCAACTAAAGGAAGAGAGTTATAAGACGAAATGCCTTTGATTCCACCCTAACTAACGGTTGGACAGAAGAGCCACCCCAGATATGAGAGCAGTACTCCAAGTTAGGACGAATGAACTGCTCGGGAGTGAAGTAGCTACGGAATCTGTACAGCATTCCCAACTTTCGGGAGGCAGCTTTAGCTATGTTAAGGATGTGTGATTTCCATGACATATTGGAGGAAATGGTGAGGCCTAGCATATCTATTTCAGAAATTGGCAAAATGATAGCATCCTAAAATGTAATTGGTGGGAGATCATCTAATTTTGAAAGTGTGATTGGTAAATACTGAGTTTTATTACTATCGAATTTAACCAAGTTTCTACCTCCCCATTCAGAGATGCTGCACAGATCCGCATTGATAGAAGTAATGATATCAGCTCTAGAAACAGATCTAGTTTGAGAGTTAGGAGGAAGGGGAAAATGTGAAGAAGAGTGAAGAGTAGAATCATCAGCGTAAGAATGGATAGAATTAGTAGGTGAAGTAAATCATTGATAAGAAGGTACAGAGTAGGTGAACAGAACCCTATGGCACACCACTATTGGTAGAGAAAGAGCGAGAGATCGATCCCTCGACAACAACTGCCATGGATCGGTTCTCAAGGAAGCTAGAGATTAGAAAACAAAGTGAGGGAGAGAAACCATAAGAGAGAAGTTTAGAAAGCAAAGACTTGTGCCATACCCTGTCAAATGCTTTGGAGATGTTGAGGGCCACGACGAAAGTTTCCCCATAATCCCTAAGAGAGGATGACCAAAGATGGGTGCAATAGGAGAGCAGATCACCAGTAGATCTCTCCTGGCGAAAGCCATACTGGTGATCCGACAAAAGAGAAAGGCGTTCAAGGTGACGGAGAAAATGAGAGTTCAAGATAGTTTCGATTATAGGAAAGTGCATGTTCAGTAGATGGTGCAGGGGTAGGAGGGATAGAGTAGGAATTGTCTAAGGTGGAATTAGAGGAAAATACGGTGCCAAAGAGATTGGCTTTGTCAGGAGGAGAGTTGGCTATAGAGTTATCAGGTCGGAAGAGAGGAGGAAAAGAAGGAGCAGAAGGATTTACTAGAGGAAGAATTAGTCAGGACAGCGGTGTTTATTTTTTTATATAAAATGTTTGCCTTACGAAGAATAGCCTTGCAACTATTCCTAGAAGTAATGAAAGAGGTGTGGGTAATAGAGAGATAGTTTCATAGCTTGTTACGGCCTATCTCTCACCCTGAGGAGCGATCAAACCATGATTGTTAAGTGAAAGTTTTGGTAGAAGATGGGATAAATTCACTTATTCCACCCATTATAACCCCAGCAATGCTGTCAGCACATACCGAGGCGTCCCGAGTGGAAAAGCAACATTCATCCCAAGGAAAGTCGGTGGTACCATTCAGCGCTCTTTTTGCTCACGTCTTATCCAATATTAAGATAATTAGGTAAGAAATTCCTTTGTAAAATTAAGTAAAATTTTCTCGCAGCTTCTTTAATGCACCCTACTACTCATGTGCAATTGGTACACATGTAATTAATAATTATTAGGTTTGAGCCGTAATGGGCGAACTATCCCGTAGATTGAATTTAATTACGTCACTTTTTATTCCATAATTACTTTAAACTATTTAATAAAATTATCCACTCAACGTTCAGATAAATCGAAAAATAATTATACGTCTTAAATTCTTCATGCTGGAACAGCTAAACCAACCTTAAGGGAAAAAAAAACACAGACACACACACGCGGTCCCACGAAGTAATTAAGACGCTACTCATTAAAACTTCAGCTCTTCACTAATGATCTAGCAAAAGTTATCTTCTTCTAAGTCTTGTTTTCCCACGCCAGCACCACGGAGATTGGCCACACGCCTTCCTGATAACCTTCCCGTATGTGATCAACAAAGCTCTCATCTTCAGAGGTAATTTAGGTAACTTTATTTATCGTGGACTTAGTTATATTAGCGAGGTATGTGTTCTATTTTTTCTGTGGGAGTTTCATTAATTTGAAGATGATTTTATTAGTCTTTATTACATCTTCAACCTTAAGAGAATATATGATGCTTGTGTTTTTTTCTTTTTGTTTTAACTCTGTTTTTTTCTTTCTACCTAAATACAATTACATGATGTTTCTCCATTTCTAAATCCAATTATTGTATTTTGAAATTTTATACTTCGGTACCGTGGGTGAATACGTCTACATCCAATTTATACTTTTATTGAATTATATTTTATTTTATTATTTCATTTTCAACTTTATATAATTCTTATTTAATCCTATTTTTGGTTTGTGCTGTATTCTATTTAGAGTTGAATTTACATCTCAGAGAATGTAAAGGTTAACCATTACAAAAGACATATATTTTAGCCTCATGTTCCTCCATAGTTTTTTTTGCCAAGATAAACAATAATGTGAAATGTGTCACCTTTTGCACAATGAAGTACACAGACTTGAAATGACATATATATGTTTTTAATTTGACCCAGAAAAATTGTATGTTTCCTGTTTGTAGTTTACACAGAAAAATATTTGAAAATGCTGTAATTATTCATTTTATTTTTATTTTTATTTTTATTTTTATTTTTTCTTCTTCACACTTTTGATTACTTGAAGAATTAGTAAGAGTTACCTTGTTTTCAGCTTTTGTCATCCTTAACATCATAGTCATCCTCAACATCATGGTCGTCCCCAACATCATGGTTATCCTCAACATCTTAGTCATCCTCAACATCATGGTTCGCCCCAACATCCATGTGGTTATCCTCCAGCATCTTAGTCATCCTCCAACATCCTTGGTCGTCCCCAACATCATGATCATCTTCAACATCTGGTCGTCCTCCAGCGTCATAGTCATCCTCAACATATGGTCATCTCCTCAACATCATGGTCATCCTCAACATGTAGTCATCCTCAGCATCATGGTCGTCTACAACATCATGAATTATACTCAACATCTTAGTCATCCTCCAACATCATGATCAATTACAACATCATGATCATCTTCAACATCATGGTCGTCCTCAGCATCATAGTCATCCTCAACATCATGGTCATCCTCAACATCTTAGTCATCCTCAACATCATGGTCGTCCCCAACATCATGATCGGCCTCAACATCTTAGTCATCCCCAACATTGTGGTTGTCCACATCATGGTCATCCTTAACATCATAGTCATCGTCAACATCATGGTCATCCTTAACATCATACTCATCCTCAATATAATGGTCGTCTTCAACATCATGGTCATCCTCAACATCATAGTCATCCCCAACATCATGGTCATCCTTAACATCATAGTCATCGTCAACATCATGGTCATCCTTAACATCATACTCATCCTCAATATAATGGTCGTCTTCAACATCATGGTTATCCTCAACATCTTAGTCATCCTCAACATCATGGTCGTCCCCAACATCATGATCATCTTCAACATCATGGTCGTCCTCAGCATCATAGTCATCCTCAACATCATGGTCATCCTCAACATCTTAGTCATCCTCAACATCATGATCATCTTCAACATCATGGTCGTCCTCAGCATCATAGTCATCCTCAGCATCATAGTCATCCTCAACATCATGGTCATCCTCAACATCTTAGTCATCCTCAACATCATGGTCGTCCCCAACATCATGATCATCTTCAACATCATGGTCGTCCTCAGCATCATAGTCATCCTCAACATCATGGTCATCCTCAACATCTTAGTCATCCTCAACATCATGGTCGTCCCCAACATCATGATCAGCCTCAACATCTTAGTCATCCCCAACATTGTGGTCGTCCACATCATGGTCATCCTTAACATCATAGTCATCGTCAACATCATGGTCATCCTTAACATCATACTCATCCTCAATATAATGGTCGTCTTCAACATCATGGTCATCCTCAACATCATAGTCATCGTCAACATCATGGTCATCCTTAACATCATACTCATCCTCAATATAATGGTCGTCTTCAACATCATGGTCATCCTCAACATCATAGTCATCCCCAACATCATGGTCATCCTTAACATCATAGTCATCATCAACATCATGGTCATCCTTAACATCATACTCATCCTCAATATAATGGTCGTCTTCAACATCATGGTCATCCTCAACATCATAGTCATCCCCAACATCATGGTCATCCTTAACATCATAGTCATCGTCAACATCATGGTCATCCTTAACATCATACTCATCCTCAATATAATGGTCGTCTTCAACATCATAGAGTCATCCCCTCCAACATCATAGTCATCCTCAACATCTTAGTCATCCTCAACATCGCCAGGTCGTCCCCAGCATCATGATCATCTTCAGCATATCATGGTCGTCCTCCAGCCATAGTCATCCTCAACATCATGGTCATCCTCAACATCTTAGTCATCCCCAACATCATGATCATCCTCAACATCTTAGTCATCCTCAACATCATGGTCGTCCTCATGGTCATCATCTTAGTCATCCTCAACATCATGGTCGTCCCCAACATCATGGTCATCCTCAACATCTTAGTCATCCCCAACATCATGGTCATCCTTAACATCATAGTCATCATCAACATCATGGTCATCCTTAACATCATACTCATCCTCAATATAATGGTCGTCTTCAACATCATGGTTATCCTCAACATCTTAGTCATCCTCAACATCATGGTCGTCCCCAACATCATGATCATCTTCAACATCATGGTCGTCCTCAGCATCATAGTCATCCTCAACATCATGGTCATCCTCAACATCATGGTCATCCTCAACATCATAGTCATCGTCAACATCATGGTCATCCTTAACATCATACTCATCCTCAATATAATGGTCGTCTTCAACATCATGGTCATCCTCAACATCATCATGGTCATCCCCAACATCATGGTCATCCTCAACATAATGGTCGTCTTCAACATCATGGTCATCCTCAACATCATCATGGTCGTCCCCAACATCATGGTCATCCTCAACATAATGGTCGTCTTCAACATCATGGTCATCCTCAACATCATCATGGTCATCCCCAACATCATCATGGTCGTCCTGAAACTTACGGTCGCCCTCATCGTGGTAATAATTTTCCTGCTTGAGAGAAATTGCATTATTTTTATCTCCGCCTTCACCGAACCTCTCGGACCAGTATTGAGCACCGTAGCTTCTTCTGACTCCCTGGGGCGCTTTCACCATCTTAGGTCAAAGGTCACGGTCATTGGATAGGTTCACTGGCCCTCTTTATCGGGTTCGTTTATATTTTTTCCCAACACAACCTCACTGATTTAATTATCTTGTTTCGTTTTCCAATATATTTTTACTCTGTTTTCTTTTGCTTTCTTTTTTTTTCTTATTATTTTTCGAGTATTTTGTTGCTTACCTTTTTGTTCTGTTCCGATATTTTTTTAATATGGATTTCTTAGTTAATGGTTTTAGCCTTTTTTTTCATCTCTAATACTTCAAGGCACTGATCGGTTCTGTTTGTGGGTAAATATGTTTGGTGTTTGTCTGTCATTGTGTTTGTTTACATATGTTTTCTAGTTCAGAGGTCACTGAGAACGGTCGTATTTCGTTATTAGTATCATCAATTATATATCAACCAATTTCGGTCAAATTTGGTTTAAAGTTAACGAAAAAGTCACGACATTCCAGGTTTTACACTGAGACTGAAATTTTCCGAAAAAAAAAACTTAGAGTTATTTGATCTGTGACGTGCAAATGGTACAGAACTGATGTTATTCTTCCATATACCTGTAGTTATATAGAATAATGTCTCTTTATGTAACATTACCCAAATTAATGCCTAACACACTTAAAACATAAAACGTGTGAACACAACTAATTAAACCTGTCGATCTTTTAATATTATTCTTCACCTTAACTTATACTAAAACGTGGTCTATTACACGTAACAGATCGTCTTATTACGGTAAACATTTGTAAAAAAGTTTAAGTCCAATTCCTTCTATAGTTCAGATATTATAAATTCCTGGATTTTTATATATTCAGTATATACGTCGACAATATCTTCAGTAATATCACGGAATCGGCAGGAAATACTTTTACATAATGGAACACATTTGGTAGGAACGAGAACATTGAGCTGTAAAATATTCTTGTCATAGACGGTGGGTAGATGAACGAACAGCTAAAGGATTTTTTTTATCGTATTTTGAAGAGATCTGAAACACAAGTGATCTCTAAGGAGCATATAAAGGGGGGGGTTTATCGGTGAACTGGAGTCCATAACTCGGAGGTGAGGTGGAGGGTCCCTGGGTCAAGATTGGGCTGTTTTTGTTTTACTGTTCAACTGCCGTGAAATATTACTCTCTCTCTCTCTCTAATGCTACCCCTTCCCTCCTCTTTCTCCGGCCTCTTTCTTCTTTGTTATATTTATTTTACCTTCTTTCTACATATTTTTCTATATCTCTTTACCTATCTATAGTACCTATCTAATCTACCTATCTTTTAATTCTTTAAATGTTGCCTTTTTTTCTTCTTCTTTTTTTTTTTTTTTTAGGAAATTCACCACAAGCTATTGTCCCAAACACGCAAAGTCCTGGAGGAGACTCTTGAGGTGTAGGGGGGTGGACGTCATCTTCCTTTAGGTCTCATCTTGATCTGACACAGTTGCTTCTCATCTTCATACAAACCTAGACAATTCTTCTTCTTCTTCTTCTTCTTCTTCTTCGTTATCTGCAGTTTTCACCTTTATTTTTTCCTTTTTCTCGCCTTCCCCTTCACTTCTCTTCCTTCATCTTTCAATTCATAACCTCTTCTCGCTTCTCTTATTTTTCTTCTTACTTTGCCTTTTTAATTCTCTCCTCCTCCACTAGACTTTTCTTCACGATATCTTGACGGCTTTATTCAGACTTAATCTTTAATTTACTTTTAGATGGCATCAAATCTTTTTTTTTGTACGATCTTTAGTTTAGAGGAAGTGCGTTATCTCTCTTTCTGTCTCACTGATACACTTTTCTTGTAATTTTTCTAAATAATGAACATATTTCTTTCTCACTTACATTTAGATAAGCTGCTTACACATTTTTTGGTAACAACAGATAGATTTAGGTGAAAATGTGATATTTAGCGAAAAGTAAACTCAGCTTATTTTTTTTTTAACTCCGGCCCCCAAATTGCTTATCTACGCAATTTCTTTTGGATTTCTTTCAAGCCTTCTATTTTATTAACGTTCAGGTGGCAATCGCATTTTCCTCTGCAAGTCATTTTTTTCCTTTTTTGTGTCGATTTTATTTATCTCTTTGTTTATACCACAGGGTTTATTTTCTCTGCTAAGCGAATCTTTTACTCCTCATTCATCCTAGTTATGTTTCTGTGTAAATATTGACAGATAAGCCACATCAGCCATCAGGTTGTACCATGATAACCGGTTTACAACGTTCAAGTGGAGCGCTCTGGTATTTTCAATTACACATTGATATGACATAGTGATGTATTTAGGCAGTGATATCTGTCAAAATAAAAATTAGTTGCTTCTACAGATGACCAAACTTTAGAACTTTTGGGTGTATACAACTCTACATTCTTCTAAATAGTTCTCGTTGATACTACATTTTCAGAAATCCAAAGATGAAGAATCGTTTTATGAACACAAAATTTCTTAAAAAAATTTTCATTGAACTTCAATACCTTTGTCTGGTGAAATATACCGAGAAGATGCTTCACGTGTAGACGTGTAAGGTTCAGCCACACTGTAGTCACTGTTCTGGTAGCCTATGCAGAGGTATTTGCATATATAAAGGGTCGCGGCGATATGTCACAGTATGTTGTGTAGGAAATTTGCGAGGGTACACGTAAGCGTTTATATGTATATATATGTTTGTGTGTGTGTATGTATGTGTGTGTGTGTGTGTGTGTGTGGGTGTGTGATAATAATAATATTAATAATAATAACATTATTATTATTATTATTATTATTATTATTATTATTATTAAAGGTTTATCGAAAGCTTGGCAGCCTAGTTACATAGTTGGGGAATGGGTCACTTTATTGATAAATAATATGAAATTAAAATAAGTTAAACAAATATTATATATACTAAGTGGGGAGAAGGTTATACTACAGGGCATTTCAACATGGTGACAGTGCAAAAAGGTAAGATTGACTGGGAGTGAATACACTGGTTGATTACAGGTTGTTGATATTTTTACAATGGTTGGGACTAAGCTCTTCTTTAGTGATCAGTACGTGCTCGTATAGGCTGGATGCTGTAGTGCAGTCGAACAGCAATTCGCGGGCAAGGGATCTCGGGTGGAAATACGAGCCGGTGTCTAGGATGGTGCTGAAGCTTCTGACCAAATTTGCAGAAGAGGTTGTGGTGATGATGATTAGAGAGAGACGAGAGCACTTCTTGATATGTGAAGTAGGAGGGGGAGAGAATAATCTTGCATGCCCTCTTTTGCACTTTTTCTGGGGTGTGACATTTAGGGAGGAAGACCAGGTAGGGGAGGCATAGGTGAGCTTGGGAAGTATGAATGTTGAGTAAACACTGAGGAGCTCAGGTGCAGGAACTCCGAAGGACTTGAGTCGGCAGAGGAGGTGGAGACGAAAACTGGAGGATTTGAAAACTGTACTGATGTGTGTTTTCCAATTTAGTTTGTTATTTACAGGGTGTTCCATAAATATCTTTCATAAATTAGGCGGTGCATTCGTGAAACTTAAATAAAGATAAATGACTAAATGACCAAATTGTCAATTCTCAATAGTTTCTGAGTTACAGCTCATGACAGGTTTGGTAGGAATGTGCTGAAACCTATATGGGGTGTATGTGAAACATCCAATACACTGTGATTGTGACGTTTATTAACAATAATAATGCCATATGATTTGTATTGGTATTTACATTTAGAGGAAATGTTCAAGTTCTGCCCCTCTTGCTCAACGAGGGATTCAGCCCGCCGCACTAGTGAGTGTCGCACACGTTCAAAGATCCCAGGGGTGTTGCGAATGTTTGTCACACTGTCCTATACACGGCGCCACAATTCCTCACGGTTTGCGAACCTCTGTAACATACACTTTGCTTTTATGTGACCCCACAGGTAGAAATCAAGGGTTTTATGTCAGGTAACTGTAGGTTTCACCACATTCCTACCAAACCTGTCATATGCTGTAATTCTGAAACTATTGAGAATTGACAATTTGTTCATTTAGCAATTTATCTTCATTTTTGTCCCAGGAATACACCCCCTGAATTATGAAAGGTAATTACGGAACGCCCTGTATAGTGACGCCGAGGAGCTTTGTGGACA